TGGTCGGACAAAAACCAAGAGGGGGGTGAATTGGTTTCTTAATAAAAATTAGGTTTTCAAAAAATTTTCCCAAATTTTACCGATTAAAAACTGTGTAAATGTAAATAGAGAAGGGATAGAAATCTTACACAGGAGATTTATACTAGTTCGGATCAAAAGACCCTACGTCCAGTTGCTAATCACTCAACAGAGGATTAACGCTGTCACTATAAACAAGTTGTTACAAACAGATTACAATTGAGAAGATAAAGATACGAAAACACCTCTCTTGAAATCCACAAGAGATGATGAACAGCTTTCCCTAGAGACGGCACAACACACAATCCACTAAGAACTCCACTTAGTGATTCTTATCGCTTCTAGCCCACACCAGGTTCCAAAAGCCCCCTTTCCTTACAACAAACAGTTCTCGGCACTCACAGACACTTAACTTTTGTATGGAAAAGGTTGTTCTTTTTTTTCTCGAGTGCCATAGAAGAGTTTAAGTAGAGAAATTAGGGTTTAGGAATTGGGGATTTCGAAACTAGGGTTCTTGGAAATAGGGTTTTCGAAAATAGGGTTGATTTGAAGTTTAAAATAAAAAACAGATCGAAATAATCGATTAAATGAAGTTATAATCGATTAAAACAGAGCCAAAATCAACATAACCCAAAACCTCTCTGTTTTAATCGATTAAAAGGGGTTTTAATCGATTATCGGACTCGATAATCGATTATCCGGAGATTTAATCGATTAAAGCAGTGAGTTGATACGTAAAATGGTTTTTCTCATCTGTTTTAATCGATTATTTCCCTATATAATCGATTAAAGTCGAGCCTGGATGATAAATTTGAGCTTTTTGAAGCTTCTAAGGTGCAGACTATGTACCGGCTATCTTAAACTCTAATATTACAAACTCAATCTAATTAAAACAGAGTTATTACAATACAAAACAAGTCTTCAACACACTAAGTCTTTGAGTTCTTGAATCATCATCAAAATCAACAATCTTCATGTTCATCAAGTGCAACATCAAGTCCTTGAATGTTCAACAAGTGATCATATTTTCAATGACAAACATGGAGCTAGTCTCCTTATATGCATGAATGCTTTTCGTTTTTTGTTATTTGTCTGAAGTAATTTTTATTTCTTTCATTTTTGACATTAACAAAGTCGTTTTGTGCGACTACTTGTGTGTGGATGCCCTAAATGCAATCTATTCTTTTTGATTGATACATCTGGAAAAGTGACCGGCATTCTCCTGCTGGAATTTCATGATTATGATGAAGGACCCCTCACTTTTATTCATTTTTTGGTTTAGCCCTATCTTTTGCCTAGACCGCCCTTTTGGGGTTTTCGGTCTAGCGGGCTGCCTTAATTTTTGCCTAGGATATCTTAGCGGGTTTTTTTCCCTTTTTATGAATGCCCTAACTTTTGCCTAGACCGCCCTTTGCGGGTTTTCGATCTAGCAGGCTACCCTAACTTTTGCCTAAGAATCTCCTAGCAGGCATTATTCTTTTTATTGTCATTTTTTCTTTCTCTTCTTTTTTTGAGAGATAGGAGCCTATCATATGCATGCGATGTTTGCGATATGCATCCTATAATACTATTTCAATTAATTTTTCAAAAGAATTAACCAATGTGTTTTTACTTCTGATGAGCTTCTGACGTTATGTGTTTTGTCGACATGATAGGTTGTACCAATTTTGTCGTCTCGATTTTTTCATGACCGAAGAATGATTGTGTTAATTGTAGAGCGACTTGCCATGTCAGTGCACCCCTCCCTTTCCTTGGGGATGTCAATCCTCCTATTGATTACTATCTCCACATTTCCCTACTACTTACTAGAATGCCTGTAGTGGTAAGGGTCAAGAGAAGAGAAGAAGAGGATATTTAATTCAAAGGCTTGTGTTTTAGAATTGTTTTATTTTGACAAAAATGGTTTTTGTAAGCACGGCTAGCCAAGGTTGGTTAGAGTGTTTAGGCTAGTTTAGGCAAACATTTTGTTTATGGAATGACATCTTATTGTATGGCGCTTGCTATGACTGATTGACTTCCTTAGTCTACCCTTTGGGTTTTTAGCCTAGGATGTTGTGCTATGTCCTAACTTTTGTCTAGGTTTCATTTTTCTTGCTTTGGGAAACCTAGCGGACTTTGTTTTGTAACCCTAACTTTTGCCTAGGCTACCCTTTATGGTTGTTCGGGTTTCCTAGCGGGTTTACCCTAACTTTTGCGTAGCCCCCTTAATGGGTTTCCTACTGGGTATCCTGCCCCCCTTTTTTTTTTCCTTAGCTTCTATGGGCTTCCTTTGATTTTTGTTTTCTTTTTTCACAACATTGGCGAAACACGACTTTACTTATGACGAGGTAAAACTTTATTTTGTGCTTCTAGTCAATCAGTGGTGATGGATTTGAATTTTATTTTGGTCAATGGCGCATTTTGACGCATTTTTGAAACGTTTGTTTAAACATGGTTATTAATGAGGTTTAGATACGAATAGCAAGAAGAGAAACAAATAGTAAGAATGACATTCTTTGTAATTAATAGGGAAATATGTGCCCTACAATGCTCAGGGGTCGGGCTAGCCCCGAGGAGTAATCTCTAATAGTCATTGGATTTACAAACCCTAAGAATCAGAAGGAGAACACCTAATTACTAAAGTCGTTCTTGACACTTAGACCCCTTCGTTTGGGAAAATCTGATTCGAGGTGCGGAGGGGAGACTTCCCTTTTATCCGTGCGGCTTGACCCTTTGTAGGGTAAAGCTTTAAAATCTGGTGGCTCCCTTATTACTTGAGAGTTTCTAATGAGCCCTTGGTTTGGGTGACATCCATATTTCCTCATCATGTGGGTCACCTTCATATTGTTGGGGAAGTCTTTTCATATTGGCAAAAGGTATTTCAAAGGTTCTCTTTAGCCACTTTCATTCAAAGTAGGGCAGACGACTTGCTGATCCGAATGTCGTCTTTGTGACCAGCTTATTGCCTATAGTGAGTTTGTCTCGTTGAAAGAACTATTTTAGCGTCGTGAATCCAAAGTCTATTCAATTTCCTCTTTGGATTATGTTTCTCTTCGATCTTATTATTTTTCCTTTATTCTTGGGAGCATTGTCTTGTAGCTCCTCGGGGGAGTAGATTCTTCTACTTCTAATCCTGCCCCCCAATGCCGGCTATGCTGGAGATATCCTTGATGATGGGTTATGTTTTTGGTATCTTCATGGTACCACCTTATTCGATTCGAGGCGTGAACAAAATGTAACGGCATCCTTGTCCCTTTTCCTTATTTACTCAGATGACCAATGGTTGAGGCTTATTATCCTTCTTAGGCGGATCAACCGTTGGAGATAACTTGACGACAAAAGGTTTGCTCTTCATCCTACTTCGATTCGTGGAAAGCACATCGACTAATCCTTTCTTTTTATTATCTTATTATTATTAAAGTGAGAATGAATGAATGAATGCAACTTATGAATGCAATAGATAGTTGAAATGATAAAAACAAACAATTTTATTTAATTCATCCAGACAGTGTACATTCCTCAATGCAATGTTTTGAAGTACATTTTTTTTTAAAAAGTGGAGAAGCCTAAATGAACTCATACGCATGTTAGAATTTCTATTTATTTTCTTTTTTACTTCCGTGCATGGCATGCGAATGCCCTAATCCTCTCTTCATGGTATTGAGGAATGTCCACTTCTTCGATTGTCTATTATTAGATGCATGTTATGAAGATGAGGTTTGGTGAATGCATGTATGCAAGTATTTGTTTTTTCCTAAACATTATCATGTTTTATTTTCTAACATGATGTATGATAGTGTTTGAGAGGAAACCTGCAACTATTTACAATGCTGAGTCACCCACCCGAGAACTAACCGCTATTAGAAGTATACTTTAGATAGCGGTTCTAGAACTAACCGCTATTAGAAGTATACTTTAGATAGCGGTTCTAGAACTAACCGCTATTAAAAGTATATTTTTAACTGCATTATAGAACATGTGGAACCGCTATTATTTTAAAATTATGATCGATTAGTTCAAATTATAATCGATTATAAATTTTTTCGCTCAAGCGATCAATGTCTCGCTTGAGCGAGAATTGACCACGGTCCAACGCAGTTACCCAATCAATTCTCGCTCGAACGAAGTAACTCATCGCTTGAGCGAGAATTGACCAGGCTAAACGTCCAACGCAGTTAACCACATAATGCAACTTGGGTCACCACATATTTTAATCACTTTTCCCTCAAGCGAAAATACCTGTCGCTTGAGCGAGAATTGACCGGAGATTACCCCTTTGTTACAGATTTCCTCGCTCAAGCGAAGGTTTTCTTCGCTTGAGCGAAAATTGACCCGAGATTTTAGATAGCGGTTCTAGAACTAACCGCTATTAAAAATATATTTTACATAGCGGTTAACGTGGAACCGCTATTGTATGTTCACTTTTAAGAGCGGTTCAAATATTAACCGCTCTTAAAAGTGACACATATTTGAGTGAGAATTGACCTGTTACAGATTTGCTCGCTCGAGCGAAGAGTTTCTTCGCTTGAGCGAGAATTGGCTTGAGATTACCCTTTGTTACAGATTTCCTTGCTCAAGGGAAGGTTTTCTTCGCTTGAGCGAGAATTCATTGCGCGAAATAATCGATTATTTTAATACGTGAACAGTAAAGAGTCGCTAGTTGTGTAAATAATGTTCCGGATGTACTTGGGAAATATTTTTAAAAATAATATTATTTATGAAAAAAAGTCACAATTATCTCCCATTATTATTAATAATTAATATTTTATTAATATACTTAGAATATATTAGATTGTAATAACTAAATGACATATAAAATAAGAGGATGTCGAATGCAAAGGTACAGGAAAGGAATCGCCATTTGAAAGATGAAACTCTCAGGATAATTAGGGTAATAATAACTTTTTAATAAGCACTAGGGTAAATGATAATAATAATAATAATAATAAGAAAAAACTTTATGAGTCTGAAATAATATCCAACACCCTTTTAAGTTTTCGCCGTCACCAAGGATCCACTCGATAACTACAACCCCTCTTCACAATCCTAGCCTGCTCGGTTAACTGATCCAACGTCATGTCACAGTTAACTCTAACGGTGATCTTCCAAGTACTAACGTACCCCACTTTTATTTTCACCGGCACCCTCAGTTCCAACATTAGCGGCACGCTCCGTGTGGCCACGTTCTTCACTAACGCCCTCTGGTCCCACGCCGCCAGTTTCACGTCGTGGCCCGTCAACATTGCCTCAAACACCGTCACGTTATTGGACGGCTGGTAAAACGACGGCAACGTTCCGTCACATAACCTAGCGTCATTGTATAATATCGCAAAGGAGCTACCCTCCTCGTAACAGATTCCGATCTTGTCGTTGCCGTTATAGGCTCTAACGGAGACGTCAAACTCCGGCGAGAATGCCACTGAAGTGAGGTTTACTCCCTTGACCGCGATGTGTTCGATGGCGTAGACCGGTGCCTCTGGCCTGAAAAACAGATAGAAAACACCAGCTGCCGCACCGAGGAGAACGGTGAGGACGAAGAGGATGGAGATGAGCCAGCAGAGGAATGAACAGCAACTGCACCGGCGAGTTTCCCGGCGATTGTAGTGAGAGTAACGGCGGTAACTTTCCGACGGGAGAAGCTGCTTCGGGACTTTAACGACGTAGGGTCCCACAGGCTGTGCGGCAGACGGAGACGGCTTCGGTTGCGAGAGCGGTGAGTTTCGCGGGTGAACTCGGTCTGCCATTGTTGGGTGAGTCACTCAGTCACGAGTTAAGGGAGTGCGTGTTTTTCTTGCAGCGTTTGTTTAGAATAGAAAGCATGTTATGTATGAATCCGAAGCGAAAGCGTGTCCGCCTAATAGGTAGAAGTAGAACTATGCAACACGGTGTCGTTTAAGGGTACATGGCGGAATTTCAGGTACGTGTCTTTTATTCTTGGAGATCCCTTTTGTTTCATATGGTAATAAATCCATTACCTTTCAAATTCAAATAATAATAAAAAGTAACTTATTAATATTAATTTACTTACCATGAAGTTTATCTGATAATAATTAATGAGAAAATTATTTTTTCCTACCACGTGATTTTCTAAATATAATAAGTTAAAAATTAATCTTTATTCATGATATTATGATCTCGTTCATATAATGAATTCTTTTTCTACATGATGAGAATCAAATATGAATTTCCTATTATATGGATAATCCGCTCAATATGTTAATTCATCAAACTAATTAATAAAAACATAAATATAAAATTAAACTACATTTTAAAATAAATATAAATGTTATTAAATATTATTAATGTCATATTAAAAGTCACTAATATAATTTTTTTATTGGACTACAGTTATTTCATTAACTAATTAATCATATTTGAATTGAATATTAATATAATATTCATATACTATATAATATTTTTTTCATATTATTATTTAATTAATATTTAAAAACTAATCTATAAAAACATATTTTAAAATAAAAATTCAAATATACATTAGTCATATATATATTAATTATTGACTGAAAAGACCGAAAATTATAGATATTTTGAATTACACCCTAATAGAATAATAGTTTTAATGTTATATTAAAAGTCACTAATATAGTTTTTTTTTTTACTGGAGTACAGTTATTTTATTACATAATCAACTAATCATATTTGAATTGAACATTAATATAATATTCATATACTAATTTTTTTTCTTATATAATGTGATACAACTTTATTATTTAATTAATATTTAAAAACTAATATATAAAAATTATTTTAAAATAGCAATTCAAATATACATTAATCATATATATAAAATAATTATTAACTTAAAAGACCGAAAATTATAGATATTTTGAATTACACCCTACTAGAATAATATAGTACACATAAATAATAATAATAATAATAATAATAATAATAATAATAATAATAAATAAATAAATACATGAAACTAAGATGTTAAATTAAAGTTTGACCAAAATAATTAAATCTATATATTTTAATATAATCTAATCACTGCAAATATAATAAATAAGAACTATTCATGTATATTATTAGATTAATTTCAAAAATGAGTTGTGCAATTGATATTTGAGACATGTATTTATTTCTTCATAGCAACGTATCTATTTGTTTGTTTCCTTTTGTTTTGAAAATAGTTTTTTAGTTTTTTAAAATTTAAAATTTTGTTTGCTAATTATTTTGTTAAAATATTATATATTTGAAAAATATTTTTTTTTCTATTTTTTTAAAGTGTTTTATTTTATAATTTTTTGTTTTTATTAATGTGTATTAACATTTTACTTAATAATTATATTACATCATTTTCATTAGTATAAAATTATCAAATTCGTTTTTACAATTTTTGTTATATTTTTTTAATCATTCATATCATGCTTTTCATTTAAAATAGTATTTTAAAAATAAAATTATAAAAAAATATATTTTAACTTACTTTGAAAAATATATCTTTAAAAAATTAATCTCTAAAACTTTTTTTAAAAATTAAAAAATTAAATTAAATCAACCAGTATAAAATACTTATTTTATTTTAGTAATTTCTAAAATATTTACTCAATTTGGCATAGTTGTCTTGTATGACTAGAGCGATTATCATTTGTATAACTGGAAAAATATAGTGCAATTCAATATTTCTAAACTAAAATCACGATTCAAGTTGCAAACTCTATACGTTCGACACACTTGGCTGGCTGCTCATCTTAATTTAGATATGATAGGTGAAAACTAGGTAATGAAATATCCCTTTTTGATATGGGATAGGTATTAGATAATAACAGAAATGGAAAGATAGTATCACCATTTTTTTCCTCCCTTCATTTTTATAATAATCAGTCTTAAATATCCTGCCTTAAGTGGGCTCAAAGCAAATGCAATGGAAATAACTATTAAAATAACTATATAGCCAAGATAAATCTATTTAGTAACAAACTCGGTCATCCAATTTGGGGCTTTCTTGTTTCTTTTGGGCTTGTTTACTCCTTCAGTAGCACTTGACCCAATAATTTCCTCTTCAATTAGTGGTTCAGTATTAATACTCAGCCCGTCAAGAAGGACCTTGTCCTCAAGGTCCAGATCAGCATAAGTCTCCTTGAGTGATTGTAAAGACTCCCAAGTGGCTTCACTTTCAGATTGTGTTGTCCACTGAACTAGGACCTGTCGTAGAGGAGAACCATTATAGGTGACGGTGCGAAACCCGAGAAGCTTGGTTGGGGGTGAGCAGCGAATGAGGACCCAATGTCGAAGGAGGTAGAGACTGCTCAAAAGGGGGATCTTGTAGGCTGAGATCAAGAGGGGGTGATTGATCTTTGAAAAATTTTCGCAATTTACAAAATACAGATTATCTATTTCAAAGATTTTGAATTCTGATAACTTCTTGAACCAAGAAAGATAAGCAATTCAATGTAAGATACAAGATAGTAAAGGTTTAGAGAAAGATAACCAAGATTTATACTGGTTCACCCAAACTACACGGCTACATCCAGTTCTCAACCAAATTCTAGCTGAGTTCCACTATATTGAATGTATTACAGATTACAATTTCGAATCTCACAACACCCAATCTACCACAAGAACCAAATTCCAGTTCTTGCACCTAAACCTTCACCAAGAACCAAATTCCAGTCACAGAACCAGTGCCCAACAATTCAGTAAAGATTTACATAAATTAAAAAGGAAAAAACCAGAACAGTTAAACTCGATTTATGCAGCCCTTGAAGTATGAGTTTCTTCACAAAAGAAAGCAAAAATTCCTAAAGAAAGAACTTTGTAAAACTCCACAAAACTTGCATGATTCTTTCTTGAAAATCTCTCTTATGATTGCTTGATTGATTGCTAAAAGATATATTTAAAACATCGAAGCAATCTTGTTTATATAGAGTATTTTTCCAACTAACTGGTTTAATTAATTGGTTAAATCGTCTTTTAATCGATTATTAAATCTTGATTAATCAATTAAAACTTCTTTTAATCAGTTAAAATGTGTTTAATCATTTTCCAAGTTTATTTTAACTGATACGACTGCGCTTTAATCGATTAAAATAGTTAAACAAAATTTCTCTAAGTTGTTTTAATCGATTGATTCACGGTTTAATCAAGTAAAATACTGTCAAACATTTTTTCAAAACTCCACAAGTGATTTTAACTGATAAAAGCAAGTTTTAGTCGATTAAAACATTTGACAGAAATTTCCTTTAAGTTGTTTTAATCGATTAATTCGATATTACATCGATTACAATTCTACCAGAACACTTTCCAAAACATCTTAAGTGATTTTAATCGATTATTTCGAAGTTATATCGATTAAAATAATGACAAAACATTTTTCAAAACACTTCAAGTGATTTTAATCGATTAATTCAAAGTTATATCAGTTAAAATACTGATATAAGGTTTGCAAATACTCTTTTAGTGAAAAAAATTGATTAATTCGAGTATGTATCGATTAAAACAATTCAAGTGAATGTTTTAAATGGTTTTAATCGATTATTTTGAAAACATATCAGTTAAAATTCTGTTATGAATGTTCCTAACTCATTTTAATCGATTAACCTTATATAATATTAGTTAAAACTATTTCTTAAGAACAATTTAATCGATTACATTGTTTTTTAACATATTAAAACATTTTTAGAGGCATTTTTAAATCCTTTTAAATGATCAAACTCATGCAGTAGATAGATATGAATGAATACCTATTAATATTGATGATGACTCACTAAATACTCTACCCTTAATCCCAAATAGCCTTTGACTTCATCAAATCCACAAGATCTTCATTCTATCATAAAGTTCAATAAGATCTTCATTCCTTCTAGTCTCCCCCTATTTGATGAAGACAAACACCTCTTTTTAAGGATCTTGATTTGCAAAAAAAAAAAAAAAAAAATACTTGAATACACAAATTAGTGAGCATTCAATATTAATTTCTCCCCTTTGACTTCATCAAAAATAAGGAAAGAAGATACGTAACAAACATATACATAATATCTCAAGATTTTAAAAAGTAAAGTTGATTTAATCTTATCTTCATTAACACATTTGCGATGAACGCAATAGATACGTGTAAAGATAAGGGAATCTTGCCTTAGTAGCATGTTACAGGAACAACCATTAACTAAAGTCTTTACTTTGAATATCAGAATAATAATCGAATAAAAACATAGCAAATGATCACGAGCAAGAGGTTTTGTGAATATATCAGCTAATTGTTTTTCCGTTTTAATTAAAAATATTTCACGAGCAAGGGATTTTATGATTTAGTTTGCAGATTGTTTCAATTCTTATGAAAAGATTTTCATGCACCTTAAAGTCAAGTTAATCATGCCAAATTCAAATAGACATAAGATGTTTAAAAACAATTAGAAATCAGACAAATGAATATTAATAAACCAAGATTTAAGCAATAGAAGGAAAAATTTGCATAATGTAAGTATGTAACAACTCAGTTAGTGCATTTAATTGATGTAAATCACTTTTAATCGATATAGTTCCACAACCTAGAACTTTTAATCGATTAATTTGCAAAATAATCGATTAAAAACAGAACATATAGCCTAGGTGAATTGTTTTGTAAATGAATTTAATCGAATAGAGTTGAAAATAATCGATTAAAACAGTATGGATTGTCTATGTGAATATGTCTGTGAATGAAATTAATCGATTAAAATGATTTTATATCGGCTAAAACTATCAGAATATGTATTGTTTGATCTATCTAAAGTCTCTAACT